TGTCAAAAGTGTGGAAACACCCTGGGAGCGAGGCCAGGCGTGACTGTACCCGAGCAATCACTGACCTATTTGGGCCAAAAGAAAGGTGTCGGGCCAGTTCAGGAGCTGGGACAGGAGCCAGGCTCCTGTGTCCTTGGCTGCCACTGCACTCTGCTGTCCCTTCCCTTTAACATGTGTTCGTCCCCATCCCCAGCTTAGCCTCCATCTCCAGGTTCCTGTCCACGTACAGCCTACACCCTTCACTTATCTAGACCTCTTCCACAGACGTCAAAAATGACAACAGTACAGACAGACCCAGCAGCCCCAAAGCATTTCTTTCGTTCAAGTACGTACTTGGCTTTATGTGTTCTGCATACAAACTATAAAGTTCTTTCAGGAAAGAATCCAATCTTATGTAACCATCAACTCCTAGAAAGCACTCAAAACATATGACCACAAAGCAACAAGGAATTGTGGGAATAGCGAATACACTGGCGCAGAAACTAGAGGCGATCCGCATCGTATTTGAAATGCAGAAAAGCTAAACTGCACGCACGTGATTTTCCCCGAATGAAAAGCTCCGACAAATTCAAGACAGTAGATCCTGTCAGAAACATTTCTAATTTGACTTTTTCACACTTCCCAAGAGCATCGAATCGCCAATTCTCAGATCCACCCATTTCTGACTGCATTTCCATTAAAAAAAAAAGTGCCACATGTCACAGAACTTTTAAAAACTTAAACGCTGAATTAAAAACAATTGCAGGAAGGTGTATTATCTGTAAAACAAGGCTCACAACAGCACCTTCCTCCCCGAGGCGGGCGGGGAGACATGGGCGTGCACGCCGCCTGGGACGGGGTAAGAACTCACGACTCCAATCGGAGCCAAACGTGTCAACCAGGAACCTACAGCAGGACTAGGAAGACTAGGGAGAAACGGACGCTGAAAGCCAAAAATGCGTTTAAGTCTCAAGAACAAAGTTCGACACCGGCGCTTTTCCGGACACCGGGCAGCCCGACAGAACCTCGGGACACGGGCTAGTGGGCAGCAGCGTCCACGTGGGCGCCGCTGTCCACCGCCTCGGAATCCAGGCTCCTCTCAACAAGCAAACCACCAATTGTTGAACATCTTTTTTAATTTTTAAAAATCCCGTAAAGGGGCTAAGAACGCGGCTGGACGCGCCTCCGGGGAGGCAGGTGTCGTTCTAATCGGGTGTTTCAGGGAAGGAAACAGGCGCGCGGGGCTGGGACGGGCTCACGGCTCGCAGCCCCGCGGGCAGCAGCCGCCTGGTGCAGCCCGGGGCTCCCGCGCCCGACGCCGAGCCGCCCCATCAACCCGCGCCGCGGCCGCCCCAAGGTCCGGGCTGCGGCCGC